CGAGGTTTTCCGAGAATTGCAAATGGAACGATCGAGAGCCGCGCATCAGGAACGATTGCGACTGGAGCCCTTGACCCCGTTTTCCTGCGCCCCTTCGAGCCGGATCGATCCGCGTCTCTTGCTCGCCGCGGGCATTCCTCTGCCGAGGCTTTTCGAGCGCTTGCAGCGATCAGCTGCTTACCGCGGGCATTCCTGTGCCGAGGCTTTTCGAGTGCTTGCAACGATCAACTGCTTGCCGCGGGCATTCCTCAACTGCCAGTCCAATTCTTCACGCTTCGCGTATCCCCACCAGCCCATCTCAAAACAGCAACTCTAGCGAAGCATGCCGACAGTCGTGTTTTTCAGGCGTGTTTCCGCCTGCCCCCGCATATCTCCCCTGTTCCTCCTTCCTCCCGCCTCCTTGTACATCCTCCTTGTGGTGGGAGCGGGAGAAGGACGAGGCGGAGGAGGAGGGAGAGAAAACGCTCCTCGTGGTTTGAGTCGTTTGGGGTTCTCGTCCTGGTGTGAGTCGTTCGGGCCCTTCTTCCTGGTGTGAGTCGTTCGGGCTCTTCGTGGTGTGAGTCGTTCGGGCTCTTCGTCCTGGTGTGAGTCGTTCGGGCTTCTCGTGGTGTGAGTTGTTCGGGCCCCTCGTCCTGGTGTGAGTCGTTCGGGCCCCTCCTCCTGCCCGTCCAGAAACGACGCCCAGGCGAGTAGAGGGTCGTCCTGATGGGCTTTTCGGCGTCTTGGGTGCCTCGGGGGGGCCTCTTTGAGCCGTTTGGGATCCTCTTGGGGGCCTCCTGGGGGCCTCTTGGGGCCATCTTGGGGCCTTGTGGTGCCTCCTGGGCGCTTCTTGGGGCCATCTTGGAGGAAATCGATCAAAGAAGAGGGGAGCTTTAATTAGCGCTGCCCCCTCAGAAGGCCAAAATGGGGCCAAAACCTTGGTAAAATCAATGATTTTGGCTTGAAAGAAGAGGGGAGCTTTAATTAGCGCTGCCCCCTCAGAAGGCCAAAATGGGGCCAAAACTGTAGTAAAATCAATGATTTTGGCTTCAAAGAAGAGGGGAACATTTTTCTGCCTCCCCCCGTCGGGGCCAGAATCCTCGTGAGGGGTGTCGTTTTTTAGCCCTCCCAGGAGTCGAAAAAGACTCCTCCAACGACCCGCGGGACGCTCTCTCCAGGCCCAGGGGGAGGGGGGAGGGGGAGGGGTAAACCCCTCCCCGAAGGGGAAGAAGGGGGGTTGAGAACAGAGAGAGCTCTCTAAACCACTCACGCCCAAAGGGCTGGTGGGATTTTGGTATTCCTTTGCCGAGGCTTTCCGATTATTTGCAGCGATCAGGTGCCGGCCCCTCCCCTCGTTCAGCCCGGGGAACCGTCCGGCTGATTTGTTTCACAGCGTGTAGCCGGCCCGCGGGCAGCCCAACGCGAGCTGCCCTTGGTCGCGCTGCCGCTCCTTGCCGTCGAGAGGTGGCCCTTCGTCCGTGGGGGGTCGCTCAGTCAGTCTGCCTGCCCCCGCCTGCCCCCCCCGCCCCCGCCCTTGTCCCCGCCGCGCGTGAATCGCAAGGTGTCAACCTACGGCCTCTTGAAGTCCTACCTGTACGACAAGGTTTCTCCTTGGCTTCGGGCGCGCACTGGGTTTTCACCAGTGAGCGTCTTCGTTTGCACGGTCAGTTCGTGCCGACCAGCTTCGTCTTCTGGCTCGCGCTCGCGGGGCTCTCGGCGTCGGTCGACGGCCATCTGAAGTTCAACCTCTACGGCAAGGCTGCCACTTGGGATCTTCATTTTCGGCGCGCTCTTCTGCTACCGACCGCATGGTCGGTATCGCGGTTCCTCGCGCGCCGACGCCTGCGCCGCCTGCGCTGCTTTTCGTTTCGCTACCGGCACGGCTCGCCGTGGCACGCTCGGCGTTCGACCCATTTCGCACGTCCGCCAACCAAAAAGTGTCCCCACCAGCCCTTTCCCTGGCCAGCCCAGCGTCCGGCTTGATTTGCGCGCCTGCGTACCCAAAGGTATCCCCACCAGCCCATCCAGAAACGATGCCCAGGAGAGTTGAGATGATCAGGAAGTGTAGGAGCAAAATCGGGGGTAGCCGTTATCTGTCGAATGCGAAGGAGGGTAGAAGAGTACACGGAGGAGGAGGACGAGGACGAGGACGAGGACGAGGAGGAGGAGGAGGAGGAAGACCAGTGTAAACCCAAGAGTCATCAACGACGTTGGAGTAAACCTTCCTCCAAGCTCACTTCCCATAGGCCCCTGCAACGGTTCATCTCCATTGATGGAATTGCCTTGTTGGAAGACACCAGTTTGAAGTCCCTGAAGCAGGCTAAAACATTGTTCTCGGGATTCCAGCACCACGGATCAACCTGATTGTTGCGTCTTGGCGATTTTGAATCGCGCCGGAAAACCATTCTTAGGAGTTCAACACAGCGAATCAACGTAAGCGTTGCGCCCGCACAATCCCGAATCTTTCCGAAATACCATTTCTGATACGTTAATGGTGGGAACCAGTGGAACTTTTGCAAATGTTCAAACGAATTTGCGCCGCGCTAAGGCGAGAGCCGCATTTTGAAAAAGAGCCGCCTTCAATCCGTGAAGCTCTTGCAGTTTGTTTAAACGAATTTACGCGGCGCTGAGGCGAGAGCCACATTTTGAAAACCATCCGCCCTCAATCCGTGAAGCTCTTGCATTAAAATCGAATGCGCGCGGCGCTAAGGCGAGAGCCGCATGTTGAAAAACACTCGCCTTCAATCCGTGAAACTTTTGCAAATGTTTTAAACGAATGTGTGCGGCGCTGGGGCGAGAACTGCATTTTGGAAACCACCCGACTTCAACCATTTAAATTGTTGCAAATGTTTAGAACGAATATGCGCGGCGCTAAGCCGAGAGCCACATTTTGAAAGCCACCCGCCCTCAATCCGCGAAGCTGTTGCCAGTTTTTAAGCTTCAGAATCATAAGCGGTGAGGAAATCTCAGGCGAAACGCCTGGCCCGCCCTAAAAACTGGCTTCGGGGTGCGACAGGGGGAAGTTATTTACAAGGAGTACAGGAGAAGGAAATTGACGAGTTGGCCTCACGCGTGCATCGGAGAGCCTCTCGGGGCCTCTGGGGGTCTCTTGGGAGTCTCTTGGGGGCAGTTTCGGGCCTCCTTGGCGCCTCTTGGGGCCCTCTTGGGGCGCTGTTGGAAGCCTTGGAGGCGCTTTGGGGGCCATCTTGGGGGAGATCGCTAAAAAAGGGGAGGATCTTAATTTGCCTTGCCCCTCCTAGAGTGCTTGAAATCGCCTCTTGGACCCCTCTTGGAGCGCTCATAGGGCTCTCTTGGGCCTCTCTTGGGGCTCTTCGGGGTCCTCTTGGAGCTGCCTTGAGGCTTCGGAAGGCCATCGAAAGCAACAAGGCGAGAAGGCAAACAGCATTGATGTTTTTTTTGGTATTTGAAGGATTTTGGCCTCTTGGGGGCCCCTTTGGAAGTCTCGGAGGCATCTTGGAGCCGTCTTGGAGCGTTCTTGGGGCCTTTTGGAGCATCTTGGGAGCCATCTTGACTTGAGCCACCTTGGAGATCATCTTGGGCTCCCTGAGGCCCTCTTGGAGCCGTCTAGGGCGAACAATTACCCTCTGACACCTCGCGGGGCGCACCGTCCAGGTCCAGGGAGGGGGTAGGGGGAGGGGTCAAGCTACCCACCCGCCCGCAAGCCGTCTAGCTCACTCCCACCCGCCCTCCCAGCACATAAGTAACACCCGAGCTTGAGCATGTTCAGCGGTCGTCTTTGGACGGACAGCTACTGGGAACCGAAGCCGACCCCATGTGCGTGACGCTTGGGCAAGGTGCGCCACGCGTGCCAGGGGCGCCACGCGCGCCAGGCACCCCTGGGGCCCGAGCGTGCGAGGCACGCCTGGTGCGCCAGATGCACCACGTGCTCCGCGTGGACCAGGCGCGCCGCATGCATACTCCAGCCGCGCCTTACCAGCCTGGAGCATATCCCTATCCCTATGCTGGGCATCTCATCATCACGATGCCAATCTTAGGGAATCCCTTATTTTTTGAGGACGCATCCCTAAGATTGTCATCGCCTCTTGGCGTGTCAATCTTAGGGATAGGGATAAGTTCGAGGCTGGTAAGCGCCAGGTGCCACGTTCGGGGCACGTGCAGAGTGCGTCAGGTGCGCCTGCACACGTCACAGCACACATCGGGAAACATGTCGGCCCCCACCGTCCTTGGTGAAAGTCAATGCCCATCCTTGTGTCTGGTGGGCCTGCGCACGGCAGGCCATACGCCACCACCCCAGCCGTCCCTGTCAAAAACCACTTGACAGTGATAGCGGGGTGGCCGCGTATGATTCGTCCAGATTTAGCCGCGAGGTGCATTTTGCATTGCTGTTCGTAAGGGATGGTAGCCCTGTGCGCAGCAGGGAATATGCTGACACCCCCGCCGTCCCTATCAAAAACAAATTCAAGTTTTTGCCCCAAAGTGCACTTTTTGGGGAGGGGGGATTGTGTGGGGCGGGGGGTGGGCGGGGCGCATCGGGTTGGCCGCGCATGCTCCAAATGTGGAGGCAGAGTGCGTTCTGTTTTGTTTTTTTGACAGGGATGATGGGGGGGGGTGAGCTGGTTCCTGGCTGGCTGCCGATTGCCTGGGGGAGGGGGTTCTTATGAATGGGGAACAATGATAAGCCCCTCCCCCAAAGAGAAGAAGGGAGTTGGAAGAGGAGCCTCCCTAGACCACCTGCGCCCAGAGGGCTGGTGGGATTCGGACAATCGGCCGAAGTGCGACAAAGCCGAGGTCAGGGCCCAAGAGCTTGGCATCGTTCGGACGTGTGCATTTCTCTCGGCGAGAACCATCGAGGAGCATCTTGCATCACCTCGAGGAAAGCGAGCGCACGACACCGCAGGCTGCACGGGGAATGGGCGTATGAGCGACGGTCAGGGCGAGGCCCCGGGGACGAGCGGCATCGGCACCTTTTCGGCCCTGCCAGGTCTGGGGCCTGCGCCTCTCGCGCTACCTGCGGGGCGCCCTCGCGCGCGCGGGTGCCTATGGCCTGGCGCGTCGCTCGGTGGTCTTCTGCCTCGACGACGACTCCTGCGGGGCGTGCCGGGAGGTCCTCGGGGGTGACTTGCGCTGCGCGCTGGGTGCGCGGTGTGGCGACGGCCCGGGGACTTTCTGCTCCTCGCCTCGGGGAGTTGTCCAGCAGCCGCGCCTCGTCGAGGGCTCTCCCGGGGGTGCCCGAGTGGACCCGAGCGGCCGCCAGGGGACCCGAGCTATGATAGGGGGCCACATGCGAACCCTAGCCCTGCCCCCCACGATTTCTGAGGGGGAGGGTGGGGTTCACTTCGCTCGGGCGCTCCCGAACGAGGTGAACCCCACCCTCCCCCTCAGAAATCGTTGGGGGGCAGGGCTAGGGTTCGCGTGTGGCCCCCTATGTGACCCAGAAGCCAAACATCCGCAGGAGGGCCAGTGTGGTGAGCCAGCGAGAGTCAGGGTCACCGCACGTCTCGGCGGACTGGGGGCCTCGAGGCTCCCGAGGCCGTGCGGTGGCGGAGCGCGCGGGGAGGCCTCGTGGGGAGTCGAGGTCGCCGCGCGGGCCGCCGCACGGCTCCGGGGCCCCCGAAGGTCCACCCGTACCCGTCCTGCTGCGTGTCGGGCAGCCTGCAGACGATCTACAACAAGTACACCATCTAGGGGGGCCACACGCGAGCCCTACCCCTAGCCCCCACGATTTCTGAGGGGGAGGGTGGGGTTCACTTCCTTCGGGAGCTCCCGAGCGAAGTGAACCCCACCCTCCCCCTCAGAAATCGTGGGGGCTAGGGGTAGGGTTCGCGTGTGGCCCCCCTACCATCCTGTCTGCGGCCGTTCACCTCGGGTTTGACGCGCTCTACCTCGATTTCGACACGGTGTTCATGAGGAACCCTCTGCCTCCGATCCTGGCGGCCGCCGAGGAGGTGGAGGTCCTCGTGAGCCGCGACTTCGGGAGCACGTGCCTCAACACCGGCGTCATCTTCTTCAAGGCACACGCCGACACGGCGACGCTGCTGAGCACTCTGCTCGTGTGGCTGTGGCACCACCCGTACGAGTTCTCCCAGAAGGCCTTCAGTGCCTTCTTGCGCGTCGAGAACGTCTCGAACCTGCTCGGCGGCGGCCTGCCGGTGCAGGCAGACCTGCGGTGGGCCGCGCTGGACCCCCACAACCAGTTCGTGACCAGCACGGTGTACAACGCAGACGTGGAAGGTTTCTGTGGCAAGTCATGGGACCATTGTGTGACCATGCAGTTCCTTCTTTAGAGCGTACTTGCTTCGTGTAGAGTCTGGTGGTCGACGAGATAGCGCCGATGTAGTGCCGATTAGCCTTGCTTTAGTGTCGGTTAGTGCTGATCCACAAGAGCCCACAAGATGGTGGGGGAGGCTCCCATGAGTTGCCACAGACGAAGGTTGGACGGGTGACATGGACGACATTGTTGTCTTCCACTTCCTCGACGGCACGGGCGGTGTGGACATCACGCGGGCCGTGGCAGGGGAGTATATCAACCTCTACGACCTCTTCTACGCGAACCCCGAGCTGGACCTGGCCGACACGAAGGTGCCGCTGTGGAAGCAGGACCCGCGCGTGGAGGCCAGTCTGCTCCGCTCCAGGCGGCCGTCGCCCCCGTCCAGCCTGTATCCGTGCATGCTGTACCCGGACCAGGGGGACTGAGCGGCGCTCGGCGCAGAAAAAAAAGAGAGTAAGGACAAGAGGCACAGTCGCAAGACAACGCATCGCTCATGTCTTATATCTTGGTAGCAGTATCACTGCTACTTTTCATGTTGAGACAAGCGCGAAACATAGATATATAGCGAAGAAGACGATGACGAGCAATACTCATAATACCAGCACTGATGCCATTACACCTAATCCTACGACGTGGGTGAGGGGGTGCGCCAGGATGAGGACAATGACGACGATGATCACAGGGCTACATGGCTGCAGCCTCCTTGTTCCATGGCTGCCATGGCTGCAAGGCTCTATGTCGAATGTTATGCATACATGCTGTTGCATTCGGCGTCTCAACGGACGCCATGCTCTGATCCGTTCCACGCTGCGCCGCAGCTTTGTAGTGAAGATGACGTCTGTTCGACGACAAGGTCTTCGTTGTCGTTGTGGCCGTGGGGGGAACGATGGGAGGGCAACATCGACCCTCGCTAAGGGAACCTCGCTAGCAACCAACACATCAAGAAGGCCTACAGATGGAGAAGACGAAGGATCGATGCGTGTCGGCATGGTTTCCTCGGCTTGGTAGCGAAAGTGAGGACTGGCAGCTGCCCTCTGAGATTGGTAGGACGAGCAGGGGCAAGAGGATGAAGAGGAGCCTCGGCATGATCGTGAGGACTATGGTGGTGACGATGAGCAGGACAAGCAGCAGTCGCGAAAGGGCGTGACTTCTCTGGAGGCTGTCCTGGGGCTCTCTTCTGGCCTACTCGGAAGCCGTTCTGGTCCTCTTAGGTCCATGCTGGAGGCATGCGACCAAACAGAGTGGGCCCTTCGAAGTACCCCCCCCTGAGGCCCGACACATAGTTTCTTGGTATCTTCTTGGTACTCTCTTGCGGTGCTCTCTTGGAGCCCTGTGAGGCCATCCCGCGGCCACCTTGAGGCTTGTGCCCATTGGAAATTATGCAGTGTGCCAAAATGCTCCCCCCCCCTGATGGCGGGGTCGGGCAATCCCCTCATCCTCTGCTTCCCCATGCCTCGAGACGACACGATCCTCGAGCCTCGGTGTCCTCGAGCCTCGAAATTCTGGCCGCCGCGCCGCCCGGCGCGGCTCTCTGCCGCGGCGGTGCGGCTCGTGGGCCCAGTGGCCCGCCGTTGGAGGGCTGGAGAACTTCGAGGGCTGAGGCTCGAGGCTCGTCCTGGAGATTCGAGGGCTCGAGGGCTGAGGCTCGAGACTCGGGGACCGAGGCTCGAGGACCGAGGCTCGAGGCTCCTCCTGGAGATTCGAGAATTTCGAGGCTCGAGGACCGAGGCTCGAGGACCGAGGCTCGAGGGTCGTCCTGGAGGACCGCGACGACACGCTTTGCTCTCGAAGGCTTCGGGCCCGGCCTCCAGGGGCCCTCTTGGCCCGCGTCGGCGCGGGGCGCGCGGCGGAGAGGCGCACTGCGCGCGCCGAGGCGTCGAATGGGGCTCTCCGGAGGGCCGAGAGCTTTCAAGCCTGAGGTCTCTTCCTCCTCCTCCTCCTCCTCTTTCTCAACCTCCTCCTGCTCCTCCTCCTCCCCCTCCTCCTCCTCCTCCTCCTCCTCCCCCCCCTCCTGCTCCCCCCTCCCCCTCCTCTCCTCCTCCTCCTCCTCCTCCTCCTCCTCCTCCTCCTCCTCCTCCTCCTCCTCCCCTCCTCCTCCCCCTCCTCCCCCCTCCTCCCCCTCCTCCTCCTCCTCCTCCTCCTCCTCGTCCTCCTCCCCCTCCTCCTCCACCTCCTGATGGCCGAGAACCTTCACGCCACTCGGGGGGCCCAGCGGCCTTTCCCCTCCGCCCTGGGGAGGAGGCGCCCTCTCCTCGGCGCGCCCTGAAGGGGTGCCAGAAACCGGGCTCCCAGACCGCACTGCAGCGAAAGCCCCCGAGTGAGGGTGCAGCGCCCCACCGAGGCTGCTCCTGCGCCCATCTTCCCCTTCGGCCCACCCTCCGCCATACGGCCGAGCATCTGATAGAGACACCACCTCTCGAAAAGCTGGGCCATCGTGTCTTAACCAACTTGCCGGAAAGCTGGCCCAGTTTCTTGGGCAGAATCGCCCTGTCAGCATTGGCAGCACACAGACCCAGGCTTTTTTTGTTAAAAAAAACCTCGGGGAATTGGCCCAGATATATTTCAACCTGACAAGTTTCTTGATCACGTTTTCGGTTGTAGATCTTTGGAGTTCGTGGCTTGATGCCGCCGTAACTGGATGTTGTACCACGCGGGCGCCCGAGGACCCCGCATCCTCCCCAGGTGCACTCTTACTGTGGGCCATGACCGCCCACTGCCGCTGCAACGTCGATGCGCCTGCGGCGTGGTGCGGCGGAGGAGCCCGAGTTCGAGTCAAGCCTTGCATCCCCAATGCGTCCAGGGAGGGGTTCTCATCGCAGCCGCTCGCTGTGGGCCAGCAGCTCCTAGCGGGCCCGAGGCCCCCACGGAGCTTCTGGAGGCCTCCAGGAGCCTCTGGGGGCGCAGAGTTGCCAGACACGCGCAAGACTTCAATCCTTGATCCTCGAGGAGGGGAAGGAGGAGACGGAGGAGGAGGCGGAGGAGGAGGAGGAGGAGGAGGAGGAGAAGAGGAGGAGAAAGAGGAGGAGGAGGAGGAGGAGGAGGAGGAGGAGGAGGAGGAGGAGGAGGAGGAGGAGGAGGAGGAGGAGAGGAGGAGGAGGAGGAGGAGGAGGAGGAGTAGGAGCAGGAGGGGAGCGGCCGCGCAATGACCTTGGGACACACAGCGAGCATCGAACAGCGGCTGCGGCGCGGCGGGGCGAGCCAGCCGCCGCCGCCGCCCAGGCGCTCAGGATGAGGTGGAGGAGAAAGGGGAGGAGGAGGACCCAGAGGATCGAGAACCTCCGCTTCCGAGGCGGAGCTCCCTTTGCAGGAGGGGGGGAGCGCACAGGATGGATGGGGCAACACAAGCTTGCAGAGCGGAGGTCGAGTCTCCGAACTTGGAGGTCTGCCTGTGATCCTCTGGGGAGGAGGGGTGCCCCGGCGCCCTGGGCCTCTTCCTCCTCTTCCTCCTCCTCCTCCTCCTCCTCCTCGTCCTCCTCCTCCTCCTCCTCCTCCTCCTCCTCCTCCTCCTCCTCCTCCTCCTCCTCCTCCTCCTCCTCCTCCTCCTCCTCCTCCTCCTCCTCCTCCTCCTCCTCCTCTCCTCCTCCTCCTCCTCCCCTCCGACTCCCCCTCTTCCCTCCCTCCTCTTCCCCTCCTCTTCCCCTCCTCCTGCTCCTCCTGCTGCCTTAGCCATTTTGTCTCAAGGCAACATGTATCCCCTGGATACACCGTGGCAACCTTTGATCCGAGGCTAGACTTGGCCACCGATCTGTTCGGCCACGTACGATCCCCTTGGTGAGCCGCCCGGCGGCCAGGGGATACGGTCTGTCTCCGTTGTCTCGGGCACCCATGGCCGCGTGAAGTTGGGCGCTGTTCCAGCTCCTGCAGGCCTCGGACAAAAATAGCGAACACTCATGCCACATGCATCCGTGAACGCCTCCCCCTCCCCCCAATGTTCGGGGGTGGACAGACCTCCTAACAGTGACACGTCGATTAGTGAATTGTCCGTTTTCGGTTCTCGAGAGAGCGCCGCGGCCGTTATTTTCCAGGCTTGCGCCCGCCAGGTTTGGGCCCGAGGTCGTTTTCACTAAACCACGTTTTACTAAAGGGAGGTCTGTCCATCCCCGAACCCACGGCCGTGTGAAGTTAGGCGCTTCCAGCTCCTACAGGCCTCGGACAAAAATAGCGAACACTCATGCCACATTCATCCGTGAACGCCTTCCCCTCCCCCAATCCGAGGCCCGAAAACCATCACTTCACGAATTTTGGGCCCCAGGGCCCACTGAGGCCCCAGGGGGCCCAAGATTAGTGAAGTGATGTTTTTTTTCCCACGTAAGGACCCCGAAAGTCATCACTTCACTAAACCGAGCCCAGGACGAAAGTCAGGGGCCGAATTGCTGCTGTGATGCCACATCGGCTTCGTACCCAGTGTTCAGAGTTGGCGGTGGGTCTGATGACTGGCGCCTCGACCGCAGTCTCCCCCCGCGCGTGCCAGCCTTGAGTTTGGGGTGGTCTCGGGCACCCACGGCCGTGTGAACTTGATTCGGCTTAGGTCGGGCCTGTCCCCCAGACAGGGGGATTTTCGACGAAAAATATAAAATACCCAGAACATGCCCCAAAATGGCAAAACAACGATTCAAAATTTAGTCCCCATGGTATTTTTTGATTATTGTGGAATTATTTTCGGGGCGCTTCCAGCTCCTATGGCCGCAGGTGCCAGAGCCAATCCGCGCACTACACCAGTTGCGGCAAGCTTGCCGCGCCAGAGCCGAGTGCTGCGCGGCGCGCGGGTGCTGAGGGGAGGAGGGAGCCAATCGAAGAGTCAGAGAGACACCAGCAGGATGGGAGTGGATGCGCAGGTCCAAGTCGGACGAGAAGAGCAAATCGAGGACTCACAGTCCGCAGCCGAGATCGGCACCCGACGAACCTCCTGCCAGTATACAAGAGATACTTCGGCAGCTCAGAGCCCCCAGCACAAGGATGCAGGAATTTGCCGCCTCATTCAAGTCAGATGCCAACACTTTCAAGACAGAGTTTCATCGGTATGATGTGGGTACGCAGCACAGGGGAGTGAGGCTCTCAGGCCTGGAGCAGGCGGCGCAGGGCAGCATCAATGACGCGCTCGGGTCTTCGGTGGATACTCAGATTGGCACCTCGCTGGGGGGCGTGAAGGTCCAGATCGGCGAGCTCAAGATGACGCGCTTCGCTCCTGCATCAGTTGCTGCCGCGAGGATGGACACCAGCGCGGATGAGGCCAACTTGAGGAGCACGTTCGGCAACAAGGCGTCGGAGTGCAGGAGTTGGATTGGGACATTCCGAGGATTCTCTCGCAACCTCAACGCCGTGCTCATTGGTCCACGCATGCGTTCCCGAACATCCCAACGAAGCTGCAGGACGACGTGAAGGCCACTATTTCCAGGGTGGGCAAGAGCTACTCGGTCGAGTTCTC